AAGAGGCAGGCCTAGATTTGTTACTCTGTGTTACTGAAGAGGCAGGCCTAGATTTGTTACTCTGTGTTACTGAAGAGGCAGGCCTAGATTTGTTACTGAAGAGTCAGGCCTAGATTTGTTGCCCTGTGCTACTGAAGAGGCAGGCTTATATTTGTGACCTTTTGCTACTTAAGAGGCAGGCCTAGATTTGTTACTCTGTGTTACTGAAGAGGCAGGCCTAGATTTGTTACTCTGTGTTACTGAAGAGGCAGGCCTAGATTTGTTACTGAAGAGTCAGGCCTAGATTTGTTGCCCTGTGCTACTGAAGAGGCAGGCTTATATTTGTGACCTTTTGCTACTTAAGAGGCAGGCCTAGATTTGTTACTCTGTGTTACTGAAGAGGCAGGCCTAGATTTGTTACTCTGTGTTACTGAAGAGGCAGGCCTAGATTTGTTACTGAAGAGTCAGGCCTAGATTTGTTGCCCTGTGCTACTGAAGAGGCAGGCTTATATTTGTGACCTTTTGCTACTTAAGAGGCAGGCCTAGATTTGTTACTCTGTGTTACTGAAGAGGCAGGGCTAGATTTGTTACTGAAGAGTCAGGCCTAGATGTGTTACCCTGTATAACTGAGGAGTCAGGCCTACATTTGTTACCCTGTGTAACTGAAGAGACAGGCCTTGATTTGTTACTCTAGATCTGTGTTACTGAAGAGACAGGCCTTGTGCTATTACCAAACAATTAGTGTTACCTTTATGCTTGCAATCTTATGTTGACAACTGTTCATTGTATCGAGAAATGTTTTGTTTGATTGATTTTTTCTGCAGACAGTTTTAAGTGTGAAAGAGTTGGATTTGTTATTCTGTGTCACACAGAAGCTGGTGAGAGTGTGTTTACTGCAACATCATTTTGGAATGGAAAGCGATGCCTGAGCAAGATATGCTTCTATTTATTGTACATAGTACACTCAGTAACCTAGGATGTTATATTTAATATGTCACTATCTATGGTTGTTCCCAATCACCTGTTGAAAAATTATTGTGTCAGCTGACAGACCTCCTGTAACACCTGAAAATACCAGACTACATCAAAGTGGACTTGTAAGGTTACCTGGTTACAATTTATCGAAATGGAGTCGTGGAATCAGAAGTACATTCTAGAAGTTGAGTCATAGAATCACCTGAGTATGGTTTAGAGATGGAGTTGTTGAATAACCTGAGTATGGTACAGTTTAGACATTGAGACCTGGACTCACCTAAGTACAGTCTAGAAGTTGAGTTGTAGAATAATCTGTGTACCTGAGTAGAGTTGAGACATACACGTGGAGGCCTTGAACCACCTTTGTACAGTTAAGACGTGAAGTCGTAGAATTATCTTTGTACCTATAAGTAGAGTTTAGACATGGAGACCTGGAACCACCTTTGTACAGTTAAGACGTACACGTGCAGGCCTGGAACCACCTTTGTACAGTTAAGATGTGAAGTCATAGAATTATCTTTGTACCTATAAGTATAGTTTAGACATGGAGACCTGGAACCACCTTTGTACAGTTTAGATGTGAAGTCGTAGAATTATCTGTGTACCTTTGTACAGTTTAGATGTGAAGTCGTAGAATTATCTGTGTACCTTTGTACAGTTTAGATGTGAAGTCATAGAATTATCTGTGTACCTTTGTACAGTTTAGATGTGAAGTCATAGAATTATCTGTGTACCTTTGTACAGTTTAGATGTGAAGTCATAGAATTATCTGTGTACCTTTGTACAGTTTAGATGTGAAGTCATAGAATTATCTGTGTACCTTTGTACAGTTTAGATGTGAAGTCATAGAATTATCTGTGTACCTTTGTACAGTTTAGATGTGAAGTCATAGAATTATCTGTGTACCTTTGTACAGTTTAGATGTGAAGTCATAGAATTATCTGTGTACCTGAGTGCAGTTTAGATAAGTTATGGAGTACAGCACTAGTTAACATGCTAACCTTGTAACACTGATGACTGTGTTAGACAGTGCCGATGGATCTATTACAAACTTACATATTACAACTGGTATAGAATGATGAATTATTAATCCAATCTTTCACAGTTTCAAGAGAGCCATAAATGGAAAAGGAGTAACCTCCCCTGGGACAGTTTTCTTAGGTGAAGAGTGTTTGTGACTCCTGTGCTCATTGGAACCGTGTGTTGTATACAGACGAGCCCAGTATTTACTATGGCTGTCTGTACACGCGGTCATGCTACACTTTGTCATGGTTAATATTAATGCTCATGCCATCACACTTATAGTGGTCCATATCGTTGTGTCTGGTCCAAGTCCTTACTGGTTGAGTGAGGCTGTAGGTGATTCCTGAGGGATCAATCTTAGCTGTGTGAGAAGCAGGTCTACTGCAATACTGCTGGTAACAAAAGGCGGCTGTGTTTGACACTCCAGTCTGCCTGCTACTGTCACTGTTTCTGTTTACCAGGGACTTACCATGCTGACCATGCATCTGTAAAGGAGATATGGACTAAGACAGGTCTTATTTTACCTCATTACTGCAGTGTTATCTTCTGTTTCTATGGAATCTTTAAAAAATTGTGACTTCTGGGTATCTGATGAATTAAGGAAATAAAAAGAAATATCTGAGTATTTATGCCATATGTTTGGGGACCTCAGGTGGTGTGTGAGGCCCCACTACCATGGGTAAGGTGAGTCTGTGATACATAGTGAAGGCCCAATGAACGGTCCGTCATCCTATCAGCAGTGTCAAGTATACCGGCAATTCTATGGCATGAGACACGTACCACAGACATGTTTGGTCACAAACTCATGGACTTTGACATCACTCGTAAGTCTTTGTCCTGCTGCGGATGTCTGCCACGAGAGGACAGTTTGGACAGTCCCACAGAGACCACAAAGTGCAATGCTAAGGAGTACAATGGTGTCAAGAAAGGAAAAGATTCAAAGAAGAAAAATAAAAAGGAAAAATCTGGGTCAAATAACACTATCTCTGGGAAAATCGAAAGTGAAGGTAAAATATTGGTGTGAGGTTGCTGATATTGTAGTGGTTGTTATGTGATAACGATGTGTTGTTATAGAGCATACTAAGGACACTTTAACCAGTGCACTATTATATAGAGTCCTGATGGTAAATCCCAGGTCAACAGATCAGGGGAATAGAAAAGCTCAGGTCAACGGATCAGGTGAATAGAAAAGCTCAGGTCAACGGATCAGGTAAGGTGTTGAGGGGATCTAGCTAGGTAGTAGTAAATTTGGTTAGCTTTAAAATAAACAAACATAACAGTAGCTTACTAAATAGGCGGTACGGCTGGAGGAATAATGGAATTTAAGGCTATACATTGTGACACCGTCATATCCATATCATTGTAGTTATTCTGTTAGAAAAGACTCGTTTAAATCAACACCCAGAAGGACATTAGCAGGCTTCTGACAATAAACTCTGCAAGGACAGTTTTCTAGTCTGTAGTCTGGTATTTTCAGAGGTGTTACAGGAGGTCTGTCAGCTGACACAATAATTTTTCAACAGGTGATTGGGAACAACCATAGATAGTGACATATTAAATATAACATCCTAGGTTACTGAGTGTAATATGTACAATAAATAGAAGCATATCTTGCTCAGGCATCGCTTTCCATTCCAAAATGATGTTGCAGTAAACACACTCTGATATTTACCTTATATTCATGTTCATCTCCCATGAAATTCATTTCTTTGTATTTATATGGATCAACACATATGCAAAAGGACAAAAAGAAAGGTTTTGCTTGTGTGTATAGAGGTTATTTTGTAATTCCCAATCTAATACAGAAGTATTTCTGGTATGGCTTTCATACATGAGTCAGACTTGCTTAAATTGTGTGCCATTGTACCAATTAATCTTTTCACGTTTAAGATACTGGTTTTCCAATAACCTAATTGACCTAGAATATCAACCGATATTGTGAATGGATTAACAGGTCCGTATGTCATTAAACCTGATCTCCCAATTGTTGTAATTGTTTAAAAAAGGGCTTGTTTACATGTCATCATGCAGGCTCAATCAAACCTGTGTCACTACTGTAGTCTACAGTGTCCCTCTTGTATGTCATCAGGCTCCATGAAACCTGTGTCACTACTGTAGCCTGCAGTGTCCCTCTTGTATGTCATCAGGCTCCATGAAACCTGTGTCACTACTGTAGCCTGCAGTGTCCCTCTTGTATGTCATCAGGCTCCATCAAACCTGTGTCACTACTGTAGCCTGCAGTGTCCCTCTTGTATGTCATCAGGCTCCATCAAACCTGTGTCACTACTGTAGTCTACAGTGCCCCTCTTGTATGTCATCAGGCTCCATGAAACCTGTGTCACTACTGTAGTCTACAGTGCCCCCCATGTATGTCATCAGGCTCCATCAAACCTGTGTCACTACTGTAGTCTACAGTGCCCC